CTTCATTTTCGTGTTTGTCTCTTTAATTGCTTGTCAGCCCCTGAGGCTTGGGATTTCTATCAAGTCAACCTCAAGTAAGAATACTACCAGGAACAGAAAAGGTCGACAGCAAACATTTGTTGAATAATAATTTGGGAGGCAATAGGAATACCAAAGAGAGGAGGATTAATGTTGTCTGGGGTGGTCATAAAAGTGGAATGGGATATTCTATGCAGAATCAACAAAATAGGTAAAGTATGACCTGCCCAGGGCCAGGTCATCCATCTAATGGGACCAAAGGGTGAAGGGAACAGAGGAGAAAGAAAAGGAGTGAAGTCTGCAGAAGATGAGGCTGGAAAGGCTTTGAATGTTAGGCCAGGAAGTTAGACTTGAGCCTGTGGGCCATGGTTCCTAAAGCTAGTGTAACCACCACCTTCCCCCAGGCCTTTACGGTTGGACACTTGCCTTGTGATCACAGTCTTCTTCTTAGCCCTCCAGGAGCAAAGCAGGAAACAAAACAAGATGGTCTGTGGACTAGAGATCGTTGACCTTGCCCAGTTATTTCAGAATATTTCCAATTCCGTGAAAAATTACTAAAATATTCCCAGCAGATTATGAATGAAACTAGTTCTTGCTTTGACATATGTATACACTTATGAAACTGTCTCCACAATCAAGATAATGCACACACTCACTACCCCCAAGTCTCCTTGTGCCCCTTTGTGATCTTTACTTCCCACCCTTCCCAAGTATCCCCGCCCCACGCAACCAGGGATCTGCTGTCACTAGATTAATTTGCATTCTTCACAGTATTCCACCATGAATTTTAAATTACTGAGTACTATAGATTCTTGTATTCCTACAAATATTCTTGAGCTTTATTCTTGGAATTGGTTGTTATTGGAAACAGTTTGATTCTTTCAGATCTTGCTTTTAAGTGAGTTAGGCACAACCAGAAGTTTAGACCAGGGTGAATTTTCCCCATCACCAAGGCAAAGACCCTTCTCAGTACAGTAGTCAGTGCCACACCAACCATGAGATTTTCCACTCTTAACTGGTGAGAACAGAAACGCCCTAAATAAAATCTTTTAAAAAATTATTTTGGTGAATACTGGTAGGTATCTTTTTGTGGGAAGGACTGCTCTGAGGTTACGGTTATAGCAGATGACACTGGTGTTTTGTTCATATCCCTGTGTCTCTGACAGGGGCTGCCTACTAGCTGCCAAGCCCACTTTGCCTGGGTGCATAGGGAGCCAGGGTCACTATAGATTAAGAGAAAAGTCTCCTCAGGGCAGCTCTTAACAATGACTGATTTAAAACAAAGCGAAAATCTCACACACGCACACACACACACACACACACACACACGTTCTTTTGCCCTTGATCAGGGCAGCTTGAGGTGTGGCCTACGCTGTCTCCAGTGCTCCCTTTGGATTTGAATGCTCCTGGGTGGGACTTGACTTGATAAGGCCCCGGCTTGGATTCCTTCTTTTCCCTGCCTTACTTCCCCACTCCCTTACTGGCTTTAACTGGAAATATTTCCCAGTAGATAGGCTTAAGTGATTTATTTCACACCTGTTAGGATGGGTGGGTACCATGACCATAGTATATATTACATACGCATGAAATGCACCAGCAACTTAAGTTGTTCTCTCTGGAAAGGGCAACAGTGAAATGGCTTCCTCACGTGAAGTAATTCTTTGCATGGCATGCATAATAGATTGTGCCTTCCAACGGATACTTCCCTGAATGTTAACCCCAAGAGTAAAACCTAAGGGCCTATGCTGGGCCGGGGTCCTAGTGATGAGTCCTACAACCTGACATTCTTGACCAACTGAATGTCTCACTAGATAATCTCCAACTCTTTCCTTCCCCACCAGCTGACTCCCTTAGTTCTCACACCATGATTATTTATCTCGATGGAGATTATACCCTTCCTGGTGCCCTAGTGCTTCTTTAAATGTTTTGTTTTGTTTTTAAAGATTTTATTTATTTGACAGAGAGAGACACAGCGAGAGAGGGAACACAAGCAGAGGGAGTAGGAGAGGGAGAAGCAGGCTTCCCGCGGAGCAGGGAGCCCGATGTGGGGCTCGATCCCAGGACCCTGGGATCATGACCTGAGCCGAAGGCAGCCGCTTAACCGACTGAGCCACCCAGGTGCCCTGCCCTAGTGCTTCTGCTTCCCAGTTAGACCAGTAATTCCCCTCAGCCAGATAAGTCTCCAGGGGCCCTGTCCTTCCACAAAGTGGTCCGTCCAGGAGTTCTGTAGATCTTCATGCCATGGAGCTGGTGTCCTTATTTTAGATGAATAGGACATGCACCAAACTCTGAAATATCAGCACAGTCTGATGAAAGAGTAAGCCTTGTAAGGGAAAGATACATTCGGCTCTTATTTTCAGATGTAGCAGGACACCGGAGCTCCCCTTCTCGTTGGCAGAATTACTTCTGAGATGAGACATCTGGGGCTGGGTATTTCTTTGTTGTGGGGAGCTGTCCTGTGTAATGTAGGATGCTTAGCAGCACCCCTGGCCTCTAGTCACAAGATGCAGTAGTACCTTCTAAATTGTGAAAACCAAAAATGGTACTAACAGGGGATCAAGACAGCTATGAAGGAATGAAAGCCTCTTATTTTGTATGTAATCTTTTGTTGGCAGAAGACATTTTGGTTGTTTCCTATGAGAAGCTTCTCTCCATACCTTTTATCAACAGATTGATATATAGTTAATTCTGCCTCTTTACACAAACACAGCACACATTACTCTTTTCACTGTAGCACTAACAAATAGTGTTTCACTGCCCATCAGAGAGGCCAAAGAAAAAGGAATGACAACATCCCATTACTGTGGGAGTGGGGAGACGAACTCTCTCACACACTACCAGGAATGTATAAATGACTGGGGAGGAATAGGACTTTTTCGGAATGGAATTTGGCAATATATACTAAAAGATGCATGAAATATATGCATATTTTTTAGACCCACAAATTCTACTTTATCACAATAATCAGAGGAGATACGATGTGCACAGAATTTTTAAGATGATGAAAATTAGAAACAACCAAAATGTTCAACAAAGGGAAGCTGATTAAGTAAGTTACGGTACAGCCATATAACAGCATGTCATGGAGCCATTAAAAATAATGATGTAGACACATAATGGATTAGAAAAAAGATTTTTACAACGCATTAAGTGAAAAAACAGGTTACAAAACAATGTATATATGTATAGAAAAAAAGTCAGGAAGGATCAACACTAAGAATTTTAACTGTATCTTTGGGTGTAAGAATCAGGCTGCCTGTAATCAAAGTGGGGCCAGAGGCAAAAGATGTTTGTTTAGCCTTCTCAAACTTAGCAACTAAACAGATTCTTATTGTTTGGGACATCTGCTTTTCTTCTCAATTGTATTTATCCATTTAAAGTATTATTGGCTTAACTGTGGAATCTCTAATATATTTTAAACTCCCCATTTCTGTATGGAAAATTAGTGTGTGAGTCCCTGATGGACTGACTTTAACTGAACATTTGGTGAAAGACTCAGGTGCCAGGCAACAAAGAGGAAATGGAGCAAAAGCTCCTCTGTGTTTCTGCTCTTTCCTAACCACCCTAATGCCCACAAGTAAAGTAGCTCAGCTGCTTTCCTATCTGCATATAAATGCATGGACCTGAAGGGTAAATTATATCCCAGAACAAAATGCTTGTCTAATAAAAAAAAAAAAAAAAATGGGGGGGCAATAGGATAATGTGCAGAAGCAAATTAAAAAAAAAAAAAAAAAAGAGCCTCTTTTCTTCCTTTCTCCAAACAATCTGCTATGTGTGAAAGACCCTAAGGAATCTGCTTTGCCCTGAAAGGAGATGCCCTTGCATCGGAAGCAATGCTAGTCATACCACACCAATAATAAGCCATGCTTGTCCCACGTCTTAATGAGGAATAACACCAATTATTTCAGGACTTACCACTCTGTGCAGCCATTTCTCATGGCTGTCACTTTTAGCAGGGCTTTCAAAGACTCTGGCTACTTACCTTAGGGTCAAAACAAGCCCAGCTGAGGTTAGGAAGCCATGAAGCAACACATGAAGAAAACTTACACTTAGCTGAGAGCAGGACAACCACAGGGAGGGAGGGCAGTGGACTAAAGACTTCAGTTGATGCTGAAGCTGTTTTAGGGGGAAAGACTCTCCCTTTCCCCCCAGAAGGTAAGAGAGTTGATCCTACCAGATACACAGCAGTTCATGTACTTCACAAAGAGTAAAACACAAATGTAAGAAGCTAACATTATAAAACTGCCCTAATTAACTGACTCCATCTCATTCTCTGCTGGCATAGAGCTAGTTCTTGGCCAACAAGGGGGTTGTGAGCCCAGTTCGTGGAGATTTTACAACTTTAGTCACTTGTCCAACCCAACCATGCCCTTTGCCACCCAAACTCTCATTGCCTTGTTACATAATTGACAAGCTTATTTACTCTATTTCAGGCATTTTATTTTTCTAACATTAGGCTTCAATAAGTACAAAAAATTCACAGGTACAAAAATTTCTGTATAGCCTTGTGGTAGTTAAAAAACCCGTGAAAACAAAACAATGTTTTAAGTTGGGCAGTATCCAGCTCTATACATCTGAGTGACAGTCTCCTTGAAGTGTGGCTGTAAAAATGGTGAGAACTATTGCATTGTGATGACGTTACAATTTTTTATGACTCTTTTTCACTTGTCCCAGGAAATCTATCTCATGCCATCCGCACTGGGTGGGTTCCTTACTTCTATTTTGCTATAGACCAATTCTCCGCCTCCTTGGGGCTTCAATGATGACACCTTCATCTTTCAGCCTCACGTTCTGACCGTTGGAAGATTCTGACACCAGCCTCAACAGCAAGAACAGCTGGATTGAGATTTATAGTTATTACTCTTCCCAATGTTAAAAAAGAAAAAAGCAATGCTGAAAAAGATTGATGAATTTTTCATATTAGCATTAATTTCTCTTCCTGCAAGGATTTAATTTTCATACTCCCACTGCAGATGAATTATATTCGATGAGCTTTTATTTTTTCAGAGTATTTAAAAAAATTTTTTCTTGAAAAGATTGCTTCTTCTTATCCCTAGGATTCTGAGTAAATATGACATATGGGAAGAGGGGAAGTCTGAGTATATCTGTTTTTTTCCCCCCTACATCTAATAACCTGTTGGACACAGAGACTGGAGATCTCCATGGTCTTTGTTCAGCAGCTCCAGGTACGGCTGAGATGACAGACAAAAACCAAAAAATTCACTTTATTTAATCAAAGATAATAAAGATCTTGCCGGGATGTTCTAGGCATGAAGACCAGACAAACACCAGAAAGCTGAATCAGCTGTCTCACAGCTTAGACTTTTTTTTCCTCTGCTTAATAAGAAATAAATTATCATTGCCATCGGCCTCCAAGTAGCTCTCCTTTTTCTTATGCTTGCTCCGCTTGCCCTCTCTGGGCAGCTTATCTTCTCTTGGCTTGTGGGAATGTGATGAGTGGTGGAAGGACTTGGGAGCCTTTTGGGTTTTGAAAGGGCCAGGAGAAGAGTGCAGTTTTGGGCCCCTGGGGAAGTCGTCATCCACTTCATGACACCTGTCAGCTTTCCTGTGTTTCTCACGCTCTTTATTGCTCCTGCTTGCTTCTTTTTGGGTTTCCTTCTTTTCTTGAGGCCACCTGTTGTTTCTACAGGAGGCATGGCTCTTCCTCCTGTTATGGTGGGGCCTCTTATCTGCTGCTTCCATGTGAGGTCTCTTGAACTGCCTTGGAAAATCACCATTTTTCTGGAGTTCTGGAAAATAGAAAAGTATTTCTGCATATTCAGCAGGCAGATAGTCCATGCACAGCTCTCAAAGGTCTGTAAATAACTCAGCAGAGAGGGAAACCAGATAATGCAATGTGTTAACGATATGACGTTCTAAATAGCCGTCACTAAGGTAAAAATCACTCACTAAAAATTGCATGGTTATCATTCTGTATCTGATTGCTAAAAATGGAAAATATCCAGAAATCCAATGGTATTTATCCTCTTCAAGCCAGCTGAATTAGGCTGAACAATGGCGATGAAGTCTAGTGAAAGCTGTAATCATCTTAGCTTTGTGAAGAAAACTCATGTCTGACCAATTCAAGTTCTTGCAGTGATAAAGAAGCAGCCCTTGACCATAAGGGAAACAAGATGTACAAAATGGTCTTTTGACAGGCTCATATGACATTTCAATTACCCTCTCAAGATAAAGTCTGGCCACAGGACTTAGAGGTAGATGCCAAACTGGACAGGAGATTATTCCTCCAGAGCAGACATCACTGGTTTGGAGAGTACACACACATGTGTATTTTAGAGGTTTTGGTGCCAGATTTAATGTTCAATTTTGCCAGGACTTGGAACCCTTACTCTAAGTGTTTGATGGTCGTGATTCTGATGGGGTAAGTCAGAGATGAGGTTCCAGTAAGGGATGAAAATGAACGTGCCAACAAGGCCTTGAAAGATTGAAGAAGTGGACAATAAAAAAACAGGATGAAATGCAAGGTAATATATTTAGGGGACCAAAAAAAAAAAAAAAAAAAGAATTCTAGGATACAGAGCAAAGGTAATTACTTACAGAGTTAGCATAAAATAAAAATTCCAATGGATGATAGACAACCTCAAAGTAGCCACAGAGTTGTCAATCTAACTAGTTAAAAGAGAAAACAAATGGTTTTTTTCTAGCATTATAAAAGTTATAAAGACTCATTACAGAAAACCTGGGAAATACAGAAAATTTTATTAAAAAAAAATAAAACTGTAGCCATAATCTTTTAATTCAGATGCGACATTTCGGTGCATTTCTTTTTAATTTTTTAATTTAGTTGCCTAAGCAATATCTTCCCATACTATAATTTCTCTCTCTATAGTCGAGATAGAGTTCATATGAAATGTCATATGTAAAATATGCTGGAGTTGAGAAGTAATTCCTTTCGAAGAAGACCCGAACTCAGAGAGAGTCAGGAAAAGAATAACAAAAAGGTGAAAAGAATTGACAATGTACAGGTCAACTTGAAAAATACAGAACTGTTTTGTGCTGAAAGCAACAAAAGTAACTTGGTAAACCATCGTGAAGTATATGGCAAGAAAGAAGTTGGAAGAGTAGGCTTAAATTAGAAAACAGGAGAACTTTAAGTTAGCAACAGTAAATAAAGAAACCCCTGAGGGTGGCCATGGACTGAAAGCTCTGCCGTAATCATGGCCGGTAAGAATAGACTTCCTTGGGGAAGCTCCAGGAATCACCAGGAATCGCCTAGCAGGGAAAGCCTTTCTTTCCATGAAAAATACTAGGGACATACAATGGGAAAAAACAATTACTTGCCAAACAGAAAAATCTCAAAGGACCCTTTACAAACTCTGCATACCTACATGCACAGAAGTATTTTCTGGACATTTTCTAAACTGGTCATTATGTGAGAAAAATGTTTGTTGTAAATAGAACATAACAGTTTCTGAGTTGGATGATTGATTTCTGGAGATTAAGAAAGTTTTATTTTTTTTCCTGACAATTATTTAAAACCATTTTCTGTGGTAACCAATGACCCCCAAAGCAGGGAATGACAGTGCAAAAGAAGGTATTTAGGAACTATTGCAAAGGTGGATCTCACAAGAAGTCAATAACATACCTTTCACTTTTCGTTTTATTCTCTGTTCTCTCTCCCGAATTTCATATTTGTCATCATAGTAGTAGATGAATGGAGATGTTGGAAAGGTCTGGTTAAACATTCGTCTTTCTGTACATTCCTGCAAGTTGTTTGAAATTATTGTTTCAAATTACCAAATTTGAAATTGTGATGTTACAAGGGCACTGCTCAGACCACCTTTCTGCAAGAATTTGGACCACTGTAGTTAGAGACGAGCCCCACACCAGGGACACCCCATGCTGTGGCTCAGGATGCGGTCTTGCTCAGACGCTGGGATGATCAAACCCAACCACACCCAACTGTGCCTACCTGCTTCTTTCAGGCTTGGGTTTTCTTTCCTTCTTATCTTTTTGGAATCTCCCCTGCCAAACCCTGCCCCCAGCCCGAGTTAACAGCAATGGGCTGAATCTCCACTGCACTTGCCTTGTTCCTCTCTTAGTGGGTTTATTTTATTTGACCTTATGTTGCTTTAGACCTCTGCTTGTCTGTCTCTTCCAAACTGCCTTCCATCAAGTGCTTCTCCTTTCACATTTACACCCTAAATGTGGGTGTAGATTCTTAGCCCTTTGCTCTTTTCCCTTCACACAAATGGTGTGCAGGCTTATTCTAACCTAACACCGATGGCAACAAGGGCAGTGATTCTTATGGTGAGGAGCGGGATGGTGGTGGTGGGTTATGTCTAGCTTGAAGTTGCTCCTAGGTAATTCTGAAATACCCCAAAGGAATCTTCTTTTCTCTTTGCTCCCCCCACTTAAGATGCGATCACTCCTCTCGCTCATTACCCTGGTTCTGCTTCCCACTCACATGACTCTGGCTTTCCCACTGCTGCTATTTTCCAAGTCCACATCCTTGGCCTGAGCCACATCTAATATAATAGGCTTTATTTATCACGATCTGTTGACATATATTCATTCAGTATGTCTGGAACCAAATGTTCTTTTCTTTGAAAGAAGCTTCCCTTTGGAACTTCTCCATTTCTGTCCTCTGCCATCTTGCTTAAAATGTATTTTATAAATGTTTACTTCTTCTTAGTTAGGTATTGAAGAAAATTAGAATACCCCTTAGGAAGAAAGTATGTGAAACAGCCACATAAAATTTAGTTAACTTATCCTAACTCTGGCATAATATATTTGACTTGTAATTCTAAGATATCTGACCAAGCTGGGAGCCACACACTTAGAAACATAATTTGCAGAGTTTAAAAAATTATGAATCATTCTAAATATACACTGAAGTATAAAGTAATGGAAATCTGTACCTACTATTAGGCTTTATCAAATCATAACATTTTACCTTAACTTACTTCAGTTTTTGTCCCAAGGTGTGAAGCATTAATAATACAACTGAAATCCTCTTTCCCATGCCTCATTCCTCTCCTTCCCTTTCCAGAAATTGCCACTGTCTTAAAGTTGGTGCCTGCCATTCTTATGCTTTCCTCTTACTACTACTAAACAATAGCATAAGTTTGAAGTGTTCAGACTTCATAAAAACAGCATCATTCTATAAATGTTTTGAAGGGGCTTTAGGTTATAATAGCTTTACAGAATAAATTGGGTGATGGTTCTCTTGGATTATCTGTTTCTGAATAAAGGTTTGGTAAAACTTGACTGTAAAACTCTCTGGGTCTGATATATTTCAGAATCCTGATAACTAATTTTATTTTTTTAGTGGTATTGGTTCATGTAAATTTGTTCTTCAGTCATTTTGGTTAATTAATATTTTTCTGGAGAATATTTTATCTGTATTTTCATGAACTTTATAAAGTTTGTATAGTATTCTAATTAAAAAATTTTAAGCTATTTACACTTTTTATTCGCTATTTGTACCTTTTCTTTGAGTAGTTTTTCCAGAAGTCTTTTTACTTTTGAAAAGAAAATACTGGGGCACCTGGGTGGCTCAGTCAGTTAAGCGTCTGCCTTCAGCTCAGGTCATGATCCCAGGGTCCTGGGATCGAGTCCCATGTCCGGCTCCCTGCTCAGCGGGGAGTCTGCTTCTCTCTCTCTCCCCTTCTACCTCTGCTTGTTCTCTCTCCCTCTCTCTCAAACAAATAAATAAAATCTTAAAAAAAAATGTTTTCAAAGAACCAGCTTTTGGTTTTGTTGATGCTATTAAGTTTTCTATTTTAGTTTTTGGATCTTATCTTTATTATCTCCTTCTTCCAACTATCTTTAGCTATACTGTGTTGTTGACTTTCTGGATCTTTTGGGGCTTTTTCGGATCCTGCAAGTTATAAGGCAAACCTGCATGGTAACATAAAGAATTACTTTTATAAATCACTATCCATGGTGGCTCCAAGTTTCCAGAAGAAAGGACACCCATGAAAGATTTGGGTCTAAGATTCTGTTATAGTCTGAATGTTTGTGCCCAACCCCCACCCCCAACCAAAATTAACCTCCAAAGTGATGGTATTAGGAGGTGGAGCCTTTGGGCAGTGATTTAGGTCATGAAGGTGGAGCTCTGATGAATGGGATTAATGTTCTCATAAAAGAGATCCCCACAGAGCTCCCTAGCCCCTTCTGCCTTGTGAGGACACAGCAAGAAAGTGTCATCTAAGAGGAAGGAGGGCCTTACCCGACGAATCTACTGGTGCCATATCTTGGGCTTCCCAGCCTCCAGAACTCTAAGACATAAATTTCTATTGTTTATAAACCACCCAGTCTATAGTAGTTTGTTTATAGCAGCCTAAATGGACTAAGAGAGAGTTTAACCATAAAATATTAAGAGCAAGTTACAATTACAAAAAGGTACTAAAGATCTTGATGCATTCCCAGCGCCCACTCATACTTTCACAGGCTCCTGGAGTAGGCTCTCTGCACAGTGACCTGCTGTTTCCTATGGTAGTCTGCCTGATGCGGAGCTGCTTATGACGGTCCCTGCCTCCCCAACTACACAGTGAGTGGAGTTAGGGAAGGGTGGTGCCACATTCACCTCAGAATATCTTCCACATGAAGAAGCTGTTCAGTAACATCAGTAGAGCTGTATTTCTGAAACTGAAGGGGAGGGGTCCTCAGACATCTTTAATCATCTGCACAGTCTCCTATTTGGATCCTGTATGGTCTAGACTGTGTGACTATACGGAGCTATACAGTCCCATAAATATTTTCCAAAGCTAAATGTAAATTATATTTTGATTATCCACATCGCTGGTCCCCTCCATTAGCACAGACAATTGATAGTTGGCTATATAATTTATCTACTATTCTGGATTAGCCACACCACTGATCTTCTTCATTAGTGTGCATAATCTAGAGTTCTTCATCTATGGCAGCGATGAGGCTGCCAAATTTGCTTTATTATAAATTAAAAACTATCTAAATCTAGATTTCAGGGATAAATTCCAAATGTTTTTAATGTATTTCCTATCTACATTAACAGGAGTGACTAGTAAGCAGTATGTGTCCAACTGTAATTGTTTTTCTTTAATTGAACAAACATAAATGCTAAAATCACACCCCTTTGCTTTAAAGAGGTCAGCAAGCATAAATTGTACATCGATGTGATCTGTGTGGCAGTGGAATACTTACGTGGATAGGTTTCCTAAACAGTGTTGGCAACATCTGAATTTTGGCAACAAGGAGGAATGCACAAAGCCGGAAAAGATCTAGAGATGATAATTTTGTAAGAAAAAGTACTCTCTAACAAGGTTTCAGTGTGGGTTCTACGGAAATGAAGGAGTATACTGCAGGGCCTCTCCAACCCTATCACCCTACTATGGATTTGTTCACACTGGAAACAGCATCCCCATGTCAGCACTGAGAAATCTCCCCGTACAACTTCTTTGCTTTGTAGATAAAGAAACTGAAAACTAGAGAGAAAATGTCGGTTGTTCAAGTCACACGGTTAAGTCAATAGCAGAGCAAAAACTGGAACTGAGGATCAGAACTTCATCCTACTTTCATATTCTATCCTTTCACTCCCTAGTCCTGCTGCCCCAACGTGGAAGAAAAACTTCATCTGCTGGGGAACTGTGCCCCAGCCGTTCTGTCTCTCCCTAGGCTGTCGAGCTCCAGCCCCACGGTCGGCCTGGTCAGAGTTCAAATCACAAAGGGCAGTCCTCTCCCATCCTACCGCTCACAGCCCTACCCATTTTGAGGACTCTACCCACTGAACGCTTTCCACCTCGTGTCATCAGATCGGATATTTTAGTTTACTTTGGTTTCTAGGCTGCGAGAAGCCCACCTGGAAACTAGGAATGTATTTCTCCATACAGATTTTCTGCTTTTTGTGCCACCACCTTTGTTCCTCTGGTGCAGGATTCCCAGAATGCAGGAGAGCTCTGAGTCGATTCTTACTGCAGCCTGTGTCTGGGATGAGCTGCTGCTGTTTCATACTTAGTGAGACAACTGGCTAGGAGACTCCCTCCCATCCCATAACAACCAGTTTCTTCTGCTCTGACACCCCGGCACCTGAAACACACGGTTTGGCCCTTTCGGTTGGGGTTGGGAACACGCAGTCTGCATAGGGAATTTGGACGTTTGTGGGGCGGGCAGGCTAGTCAATGATGCAGCCCCTCTGTCTTTCTACTAGCATCGGCGTTTACACGTGAATGATGATTTAAGGGAACACAATACCAGGGAAAACTGGAGATACTGGAGAACTACACAGAAAATCTAAAATCATGATTTGGCTGTGTCAAGATCATAGCAAACATAAGAACTCAGGAGAACTGTAACCATTCTGTTGACTACTTTTATTTGATTGATTTTATGAGCTTTGTATTTGTTTTAGCCTAATATATTCCTGCATATTTAAGACAATTAGAAGAATGTGCTCTGACAGATCCCTTACTCTTGCAGAGAAGGGAGAAGTCAATTGCATGAAAATATATAAGGTCTTATTTTAGGATATTAGTTTATTAAAAAACTAAGCATTCAGAATTACATTCTTTTCGCATCTTTCAGCAACCACTCCCAGAAAAGAATGCTATGCCCCAATGCTACTCAAACTTACGTGTCCATAATGGCCTTCTTGCCCACAGTTGTAGCAATACACTAAGGCTGATTGTCCAGAAGGGGTCTTCGGCTTTTTGGGTGGTCCAGGTTTGGTCTGCAACATGAGTATTTGTGAGGGTTTATTAAATGTTTGAAGAAAATTGAAACCTAATTCTTTCCCAAAGAGCTCTTTTTTGGTAAGAGACTCCTTAGAGATACGGCCTCCTAGAGTTTAGTGTGAGGACCTCATATCCAGATGGCTCTCTGTGTTAAAGTGCGTAACATGACAATTCTCTTATACTTCACATGGATGTGTTCTTTCCTCTCCTTCGTGCCTCATTCCATTTGGCACTGTGCCCAGTACTGTGCTTGGTATTAGGTCTCTCAGAGAAGCACAATAGGCTAGTAGAATATGACAGACATAGAAATAAATAATGACAGAACGATGTAATAAGCACAGTGACAGAAACATGTACAAGGTATGAATGGAGTGGCAAGGGGGACCCACCATTGGATGGGATGGAAGAAGTCAGCGAAAGCTTCCTTGGAAGTATACAACTTAAATTTACTCTCAAAGGATTAGGTGTAAGTCAAATGGAAAGTCCTAGGTAGAGGGGGGTGTATGAACAATGGCATGAAACTAAGAAAGAGCATACATGCTGACAAGGTACAGCACACACAGCCAGGTGTACTGACAGATGAGGCTGGAGAAAGCAGGGTGCAAGAAGGGAGGGCCTTATAAACCATCTTAAGGAGCTTTGGGTTTATCTGGGCTTTTACATTTTAAGTGTAGTTTTTTTTTTCTTTTTAAAGATTTTATTTATTTATTTATTTGACAGAGAGAGAGAGAGAGAGACAGCAAGAGAGGGAACACAAGCAGGGGGAGTAAGAGAGGGAGAAGCAGGCTTCCCGCGGAGCAGGGAGCCCGATGCGGGGCTTGATTCCCAGGACCCTGGGATCATGACCTGAGCCGAAGGCAGACGCTTAGCGACTGAGCCACCCAGGCGCCCCTAAAGTGTAGTTTTAAATGAAGGAGCAGAACAGTTAGACTTTTATTTTGGAAAACCATTTTGGCTTGTAGTTGTGTGTGTGTGGGGGGGTGAACACGAGCAGGAGAAGGTTAGATACAGTGAGAAAGGTGGCTGTGAGGAAAGCCAGTGAGGTGAGGAGGGCCTAAAGTCACAAGAGAAAGTACAAGATAGGAAAAAGGGAACAGATCTGGCAAATACATGAGGTGATAAAACTGGTATCTGTTGAACACTGAAAGATACAGGGAATGAAAGAAAGGAGAAATTGAGATGCTTTTCAGGTTTCTAAGTTGGGTGAACTAGTGAGTGCCAACAATTTGGTAGCAGTGCCAGCACCTGCTTCAGAAAAGGTAGGAAAAAAAAGAAGAGCCAAATGAGAGGGAAAGATGGTGAAGACTAACTTCGATGTTGTATATTTTGGAGATGTCCATGTGAGATTAAAGCTTAGGGAACAAGTATAAGCCAAAGATTAGGTCTGAAAGAAATGTGTATAATAGTGGAGGCTAAGATGACCCGAGTGGACATCATAGCCACACCCAGTGTGAGCAGCAGTGACGCAGGATGGAACCCTGGGAGCAACAACACTTAAGGGGCAGACAGAGGAGCCTGAGAAATGGAAAGAGAGGGAAAGGTTGAAGGATGCAGAACCACAGGAGAATACAGACCAAAGACCTTAGAGAGTGGCTTCAAAAAGGGTGAACTGATCTACAGTGTCAAACACAGGAGAGGCTTAGTGAGATTAGAACTGAGAAACATCTGTTAGATTTGGCAACTGTTCATGGATAACCTTAGTGTGAGAATCTTGGAATTAGTGGAAAGGTAAAAAAAGAATAGTAGGCAACAGGCTGAAGAGTGAATCGGTGAATAAAAAGGTGATGAAACCAAAAAGAGGAACAAGAAATGAATACCCACAGAAGCCAGGATGGTGGTTACTCCCAGCGGGGAGAAAACAACTCACAAAGGCTTTTGGGGTAGCCGGAACTTTCTATTTCTTGAACACAGTGGTGTTCTAGAACTTGAGTGTGTGTTATGTAACGCATTTACTAAGTTGTATACGTTTTATGCACTTTTCAATATGTACATTATATTTAACAATAGGAAATATTTAAGAGTTTTTTTTTTTTTTTTTATTAGAGAGAGAGAGAACACAAGCAGGGGGAGTGGCAGGCAGAGGGAGAAGCAGACTCTCCACTGAGCAAGGAGCCCGATGTGGGACTTGATCCCAGGACTCTGGGATCATGACCTGAGCCAAAGGCAGACACTTAACCGACTGAACCACCCAGGCATCCCCAATAGGAAATATTTTTAAAAATTGAATGGAAGTTGGGAGAAGGAGACAGTAGGCATACATTACTTTGAGAAGCATGAATAACAAGAGGCAGAAGAAGACTGAGCAAGACCTAGGAAGGGGGTTTGGTGGAGTTTGCTATTAGAATGAGAGAGAGATCTGAACAAGTGAGAAAGCTAGTAGAGATGGAGGAGTTGGGAACAGGAGAGAAGGGAGAAGACAGAGCAAAACCCCTGAGGTGGCAGGGCTTTAAACAGAGAAAAAACCCTAATTGCCCTCCTACTCTATTCTTTTTGGAGATTGGAAGAAAGGTAAGGATGGGGTATAAACTTGGTAAAGTTTCTTTCTTTCTTTCTTCCTTTTCTTTTTTTTTTTTTTAAAGTAAACTGTACACCCAACACCGGGCTCGAACTCACGACCCCGAGATCAAGAACCGCAGGCTCCCCGGAATGAGCCAGTCAGGCGCACCCCACTTATGTTCTTTAGTGGGATGCAATAACAAAGAGTGCTGGTCTCCAACTAATTTTGTTATTGTTGTTTAAGGTGGCAAACGGGTGGTCTGTGGAGGTTTTATTTTCTTGACACCGGAAAATAATCTATAGGTTATAAAAACTGTTTTCAAACAACTTTACTTTCAGATTCTGTTCCCTAAAATGGAAAACTGGAGGATAACAGTAACCTAGAAGCTCTTCTCTACTGAAATGACTACAAAGGTTACACAAAATGGAATTTACAACCTCAGCTCTTATCAATTGGGATACAATCAAGAACACAACAAAATGTCTTATATTCTCCAATAAAAACATGTGGTTCACAAATGAAGACAAGCTGAAAGTTGTCAAGCACAGTTTTGATAGGGATGCACATAAGCAATGTACCACTCACTCACTGCAGTGGTTCACAAGTTTGTTCAGGTATAGAGTGCCAGGAAGACATGAAATTATTAAGCAGAAATTATTTTTCCATCTTTGTGTTACCTGATGTGACACAAAATTGCAACTATGAGCATAGATATATGTGGTTTAAGAGAAAGAAATCAAACCCAGAGATAAGTCATCGATGTGAAGGCAGAACACAATGTTTCAAGGAAGAAGCTGTCAAAAGCTACTGGTGGGTTAAACAAGATAAAGACTACAAAATCCACTGGATTAGCAATCGGGAAGTTGCTGGCAATTGGAAACTGTTGTGAACAGTTTATTTGAGGGGTAGAGATGCAAACCAGATTGTAATGGGTTTATTATAAGTAGAAAGAACTGAAGAACAGTATACTGATGACTTTCAAGAGACTAGGTTGGGTATGGGGCAAGGGAAGGGGACAAGTAGAACAGAACAAGTTCAAGGATGCCTCCATCAGTGATGTTTACCAGAGCGCGGGGCACACGCATGAGCATATACATGCATTCTTTCACTGATTTATTAAAAAAATAATTAGTGAGTGCCTAATACATGCCAGATATCTTAGAACAGATTAGGTAATCAAGAAGTGAGACCAAAATAATCACTGCTCACATCTCCTGTAGTGGAAGACAGATAAACCAAGAAAACACATACACACACAGACAATATCAGATAGTAATAAATGGTACGCAATTAAAATACAGTTGTATGATTGAGAGTCATTGGTGGTGACTTAAGATTGAATTTTAGAGAAAATCTCACTGGGAGGATCATTTTTTGTGACAAATCCCCCCACCCCCCAAGTATGCAATGAGTGGGGAACAGCATTCTAGGCCTCAGGCATGGGGGACAGGGAATGCAAACCCCTGAGGTAGGCATAAGTTTGCCAAACTTGAGTATCTGAAAAATATCTGTAAATTTCAACTGTGGTAGGTGAAGGAAGAGTGGGAGAAGAGGAGGTTCTAGAGATGGAGAGGGACTAGATCACTTAGGGCTTTAACAATCAGAGTGGAAGGGACTAGATTTTGAGTGGCATGAAAATCTAGTCTAAGGCTAATGGTAGGTGCTCAGTAACTAGTTGGCAACTGTTAGCAGAGACCATCACTGATGATAAACAGAATTATCCACCCCCCAAATAATGAATCTTCTCTGAAAAACTTATGTTTATAAATTTTTCTGTTTTGTGTGTGTGTGTGCAAATATATGGCAATTTACCCCTGAGACAAGATTTCTAGATTCACTGATGAGAAGGAAAATATGCTATGTTTATTCCACTGGAATAAGAAACTCCATTGGCTCAAATCCTATGCAAAAGGACAAGATGAAATCAGGCAGTAATGACAAGGGGGGCCAATAAGGACCAAATTAAGAGGGCTATCCAGACACTGGAACTTTGCCTTGATTGGTATGGATGCAAATAGAGATCTCCTCACAGGAGAGCCAATGGTATCCCCCTGGCACTGCTGGCTTCTCCTTAAGAATACAGAACACAGGAAAGCCACACTACTATACAACTCTCCAGTGGTTCGTTCCCATCACATACTCTCAGAATAAAGGCCACAGTGCTCCTGATCCTCCTTTCCCTACTTCACCTTCTCACGTACTAAACTGATTATCTGTCACATTTATTATCTGTCTCCCCATTGCTAGAACGTAAGGTGTATGAGGTAAGATATCTTTGTTTAGTACACTATGTATCCTTATGCCGAGAATCTAGAGTAAGTGTTGGCCGACAGGCCAAATCCAGCCTGCTGCCTGTTTTTGTATAGCCAGCCCACAGGCAAGAATGGCTTTTACATTTAAATGGTTTAAAAAAAAAAGGGTATTTTTCAACACATGAAAATTCTATGAAATTCAAAATTCAGTGTCTGAAAATAAAGTTTTATTGGAACACTGGGAGGC